TCCAAGACCGATATGGACAGACATCGTGCTGAAATAAACGAGTTGCATGCGGAATTTGTTCGCTTGTTGGATGAACTTGACGTGGAGACAGTGGCGCGTGTCCGGAGTGAGAACGAGAGGCAAACAATAGAAGAGCATATCAAGTTTCTCACTCTGATTCATGAAGAAGAGATGAATGAATTACGTCTACTGGTATCAGGGTCGATCATCATCGATTCGACAACGTTCTACAAACAAGAACTTGAACGATGTATTAGAGAAATTCGTCAAGATTTTGATCAACTCTCGCGGGTTCAACGACAAGAGTTGCAGGATTACTATCGGATAAAATCGGAGCAGCTGGTCTATCAGGCAAAACGACAAAAAGAAACGTTAATGGAGAATGTTGTAGAAATTCGAGATGTGTCGACGATTCGACAAGGCATTGTAGAAACGAAACAACAACTGACTACGTTACAAAGTGAATACAATGCTAAACTCGCAATTTTGAGTGACCTGGAAACAAGGATGGAAACTCAGCGTCGTGGTAAGAAGAAAACGTGAAGGTGTTCTTCTGCTTACTTGAAAAGGCTTGACTCCGTTTGTTTTAGAGAGCAGGAATGAGGTCGATCGATATGATCGTGAAATTATCGATTTGCGTGCAAAATTGCAGTACCTCTTGATAGCATACGATGAAATAGTAACGAACAAATCAACGCTGGAGTTCGAAATCAACACTTACCGACGTCTGCTGGATTCACAAACTGAGCACATCAAACACGTTCGTATTGTTGAAGTGCAGGAACCAGTCGTTGAACAAACAGAAACAAGTTCGAGTGTTCTTCAGTATACCACCACATTTCAACGAACTTCTAAAGGTGAGTATTCAATACATGTATACAGCCAGTTCGGATAATCCTATGATAGGTGATCGTATAAGGATAAAAAAACGAGAAATACTGATGAAATGACAGGATTCATACAGTGGAAACTTCCTACTGGATGATCCTGTAGAAATCTGATGATCACGAGGAAAATTAAAGATTTAGTGGTTGTAAGTCTAGAGACCTCTTGCAAGAAACTAAGTGTCATTGTTAGTGGATCCAGGAGAGCTGGAACCGGTTGAGAAAAGCTAAACCGGACCAGTCGGTAAACGGCTGGGTTTTCAATTGTAACTCAAACGGGCGGAAAGCTGACGAAGTTTTATAAAAATCGCTTTCAGAAACAATTTCCGTCTGGAACGAAATAGTTTGGGGGCACATGTGAGAGAATCTTCACAATAACTAGTCTATAATATTTAACCTTAAATCAAGTGATGAAAATAATACCTATCTTGAAGATAGTCTTATCTATTCTGACTGAAAACACGTGAAATTTTAGTTTTTCGACGAAGAACTGGGCAAAAAGAGTAGA